GAAGAGAACTTCTGCAGTGCAGTTTACATCCAGGGGTTTAGAACTGCACACCCCTGGATATAAATCCAGACCACCTGGAGGCCAGCTCTGTGGTTCCCCAAAGGGACACACCCAATTCACCTACCAAATAAAAATATTTGGTAGTTTCCCAGCTTGTGTACACCAGTCCATCCTAAAAGGTTGAAATGTCTCTCCATAGGCTTAAGCACTTAAGAACTTTATGTGAAAATACGCTGCTATTTTTGCCTTCAGGCTGCACCCACAACTGGAATGCAGCTCCCAAAAGCTTCTCCAAAATGGAATTCAGCCTTAGGCTGAAAAGTTCACATGCCTGGTTTAAATGATGTGAAGGAGTGATTAAGAAGTGGGAGGCAATTATTCTAAGGCCTTAAGCCAAGGCAGCTTGCCCAAAAATTGAGATGTAAGGGAAATTAAAAAATTAATTAAGAATTAAGAAGACTCTGCACTGGAGGATATATCTAGTAGCTAGCATATTTTGACCATTGCACATCTATTAATACGTGTTTAATAAATGCTTTTGTTTAGTTCAAATCCCAAATCACACCTTTTCACTTTGAGGATTAGGGTGCAAATGCTTTTGTTGTGGTACTTGTTATTAGGGTTCCTGGCTCTTATGCCAATAATCCCTGACTATTTTTATCTAGTGGTGATGTACATGTTTGATATATTTTTGGTTGTTTTATAAAGTACCCTTGGTTCATTCTTAAAAAACATGGAAGACACATTTTAAAAAGGACACAGAGCAAACAAATTTTAAAAAGGACACAGACCATGTCAGCATGCAGCCCACTGCCACTTCTTTAAGCTGCCATAGGCTATGGCATGGGCAAGGCATCTTTCGAATATTCAAGCTGCAACCATGATGCGCCACGTCATCCAAATGCAGTGAGGGTGGGTTGCTGGCATGGTTAACAAAATCACCCAGAAACCATGGTCTGTTTTCAGGCTGTGGGTGATTTTTCAACCATGCTAACAACCCACTTGCTAGGTTTGGATGACTGTTGGGAATGAAAGGGGCAGTTCTCCTTGGTGCACATTTCAGGGCTAGGGTGACACCAACTCTTTGGATGAGGAGGGTGAAGCCTGGGAAGAGAGACCTGCAGACACAGAGGTGGCAGAGGAGGGATAGCTTATTTCAAGGCCACCACCTCCAGCTGTTCAGGCAGATCTGGGTACCTGACAGGTTGTGGAAGTGCCAGGAGAGGACATGCGAGAGAAGCAAGAGCAATGACACAGAATTGGGACACAGCATTGTGAAAGAAGGGCTAACTGGCTGGAGGGTATGCGTACAGCTAGAAGACTTGCCCATTTCCAGAGGGGCAGGGTCCAGGATTATTCAACAGAAGGGTTCTTCAAAATAGTTTCTAGTTTGGGTTCAATGAACTGTTCTGTGTATGCTCAAAAACTTTTTCTTTGCTAGGTAGAGCTGGTGGATATACACTGGATATTCTGTCTGTTCTTTGAAAAAAAGAGGGGGAAATGTGGCTTTCAGCTTGACGTGGCAAGCTGTAACTTGATTATTCAACATGCTTGCTTACTTACACAAGACACCACACCACTTCATTACTTAATTAAGCCACTGTGAGCTGCCTGAGTGGGTGAACCAGCCCTCTGTGTAGCATTTTTGGGGGGCTTATGCCCCATCTGTCTGAATCCAACACAGTGCGTGTGTTCATGCATATCACTAAACCAAGTTGCATGGTAACCCTGCAGCATAGTATCTCACCTACTGTCCTGGGTTCATACATTCACATGGAAATTACTCATAAGTAGTTTCCATGTACCCCTATCCTTTCTCCCAATGGCACCACCCTCCACTCCATGTATAAATCTCTGTCATGTCTCCCCTTATTTATCTTTTCTCTAAACAAATTTTAATGTCTCCTCATAGGGCAATCGCTCCTACCCCTTGAGCATTTTACTCACACTTTTCTGCACTTCTTCTAACTTTACAGTACCCCCCCCCTCTTTTAGGTGTAGTGATCAGATTCAATATTCTAACTTAGTCGCACCACAGGAAAGTATGATGTTGGCAGTTTTATTTTTTATGTTTTCCCTAACTGTGCTTAACATGGGATTTGCCTTTTTCACAGAGGCCATGCACGGGGTTATTTTCATCAAGCTGTCCACTATGACAACAAGGTCTCTTTCTTGGCCAGTTAACATTAGTTTAGATCCGATCAGTCCATACATGAAGTTAGGATTCTGTGTCCCAGTTCCAGTGCATATCACTTTCACATGATTACATAGATCTGCACCTGCTATTTTGATGTCCATTCATTCAGTCTGGAGAGATCCTTTTGGAGATCTTTCCAGTTCCTTTTTGCTTTAACCATTCTACATGATGTACTATTAACAAAGTTCAAAAGCTATTTACGAATTGTACAATGCTTATTTATTGCCACTTGTTTTCAGTTCATTAAGACTCTCCCGAAGTTGTGAATCACTGACTGCCATCTTATCTTTAGTCCAGCATAGAAGCCACCTTGAATCTAGTGGGACTAACTTTCAGTAAACATAAACAGGATTTTGCAACTGAAGCAGCTAATGGTTACAGCTAAATACAGTCTAGTGCTCCCCGGTTAATTATTTTAGGCAAATAATTATATTTATAGATATTTCCTCAAGCAATATTGTTCTGCAATACACTGTGCACAAATTGAGTTGAAAATTCTTTCAAAAGGTGCATTTGATTGTACTTAGAAATGAAATGAATAAAAAGTACTAAAGGGCTACATCAATTCACATATATAATCATCAGAAAACAGCTGTGATAGAAAATTGGTTACAAATTGATTTTTCAATAGCCACAAGTGTCAACTCACTCATAATCCTTTACAGCACAAGGACTGGTATGTTTAATTCCAGTTTGCCCCAAAGGAGGTGTAGGCAGCTAGCTGAAGGGCTAAAATAAATCTGTTATCTTTGCAGGGAAGAGTTCAGTCCCAAAGTATTGCATACAGAGAAAATAACTGACAGTTTTATGAAATCCAGGGCCCATGGAGCAACATTCTGTAAAAAGAAATCACTGTAATTGCATCAATGGAGCTCTGTCACTGCACACAGAGGGCAAAGCAGAGATGAACACCAGGGGTTAGGCTTGACCAAAAGACTGTCAAGGGAGTCTGCCTGAAAAACCACAGGCTATAACATTTCACCAGGAATTCCTGCATGTGGTCAGTATGTTTTCGTTGAGTTAATCCTTGTTATAGGAATACATTCGGGAGATAAGCAGACAGCACCCTTAATTACCAAGAAAATGTAGACAATATTTGAGATTACATTGTGTCTGAGGCTTTCTGCCAATACCTGTATTGGGCATGTGGCCCTCCATATTCTCTTGATAAAGCAGCATTATCAAAGTCTGCAAAATATCTTGCAGTAGCATGGACCACAGGGGAATTTATCACTAGACAAATTAAATTTTCTTTTGTAAAAAGAGAAGAAAAGCTAGGGGAGAGAAACCATAACCCGTCAAAGAGAAAGTCTGTAGGAATAATTAAAGGATTGTTTATTTTCATTATTTGAATGTGTACCTGGCGAGACTTAAACATTACTAAATGTAATTCAATAATGTCAAGGACTGGTTTTCCAACTGTGCAAATCTCATTTCTTTATTTAGTAAAAAAGGGAATAAGAAATTAACTGTCCCTAGATTTCAGCAGAGTTGCTTCTCCACATTTATGTACCTTCAAACTTAGGGCAGATTTCTACCAGATTCCAAAAAGTTCAGCAGAATAAATACTTCTTAACGTTTTTCAGAGGCCTTTGAGAACTAATCCACAGGGTGCATACACAAACCCATAGAACTGTCCCTGAATTCCGTTTTAGGTGGCATAGCCAAAACATGACAGCCTAGGAAAGATCTTTCCTGTAATCTATCATTTATTTATTTCACGACAATCACCTCAGGGCGGCTTACAATGAATAAAAACAATCTATAAAACAATACAATAAAATAATATACAGTCAATAAAATAAATCAAGCGACTGTAAACTATTAAAATTACTAAATTTTTAAATAACGTTTAAATATAAAGGTTTTAACCCGGCACCGAAAAAAATATAGGCTTGGCACCAGGCGAACCTCTCTGGGAAGCTCATTCTACAATCTGGGCGCCACCACAGAGAAGGCCCTACTCCACATAGACATCCTTTTTACCTCCTTCAACGAGGGCTTCCCAGGTTTCATGAGGGTTTCATCATAAATGAAAGCTATCATTACAACTGAATATATAAGCTTCAGCATTGGGGACCTGTGAACTTTGAAAGTTTAAGAATATTTTAAAACATAAAATGTCTGAAATGAAGAGGGGATATTGATTCCATTGATTCCAAAGTACTCAATATTATATATATATAACAGGATGTGTCAATAATTCACCATAATCTTTGAAGTATGACCTTTCATTAGTTCTGATATGGTATGACTATAGAGAGATTGCACAGTTGCTGCTTTTTTCCACCCAGTTGATTTAGAGGCAATTTGGAATGTATGCTGTGCATGCACAGGGGCTTTTCATGCCCTCCCCACAATAGTCTCCTGTCTGGGGATGGTTGAGAAATCTGTCTGATTTGCACATCAGTGTGTATTTACCAAATTTGCACTTCCTGAACCCTGTGCATTTGAAAACTTGCACACAAATGATGTGCATGTATAGAAAATGTGCATAAAGCTGCCTTATTCAATGGAAAATCTGCTTGGTGAAATGTGTATGTTGGAAAAATAGGTACCAAATGCATACATAAAAATTTTCATGCAGAATAAAATAAACCCATGAAATGTCATCCACCTATATTTATTTTTTGTATCTGCTATTCATTCTTTCTTTACACATACATGTGTCTTTTGTAAAAAAAAAAAAGTAGGTAAATATGGGAACAAGGGACATTTTCTCCTTGATTCTAACTGTACCAGAAACAAAGCATGAAATTGCATATCTTGGCACAAAGTCCAAAGATGAACTTAACTGGCTTACCTTGGTTTTTGTATGACACATAAGGCAGTCACATTCAAAACAATATTGACGTTTCAGGTGTTTCTGTCGTTCAGGGGTGGGCATCAATGTTTCATTATAGCTGATGGTAAGCTACACAGAACAGTATAACAAAGAAGGGAACAGTATATTACATTTGACAAAGAGAACATAATATATGCATAAACATTGGAGAGCAATGAATTAGAGGTACTGTACAGTCCTCCATGACTGCCAATAGGACACACTTTTCCTAAAAGAACACTGGAAAATAGATGATGTTATTTCTTTTACAACTCTTCAGCCAGTACAGACATTTTAAATACAGTTCTAAGTTTTCCCAGAAAAACAATTTAAGGGAATGCTTTTGTACAAAGACCAGGACACATGTTAACTGGAAGCCCTGGCTGTCCATACAGCACCTTAGATGCCAAGAAAGTCAGAAAAACTAAAGCTAATCTTAGGTCATGGCTGTATAAAGGTCAAGACACAGTGAAAAAACCACAGAGACAATGAGAGTGTAAGTGGGTAAGTGTTTGGCTAGGACCAGGCTATCAGTCCCTTCTTATCCACAAAGTTTTGGGTCCATCAATAACTCCCAATTTCATCTATCACATTTTCTCAATTTCATTGAGTTCCTTAAGAACTTTAGGATGCAGACCAACTGGACTGGTGATTTATTAACTCTCAGTACATCAATAAGGTTTGAGAAGGGCATCTTATGTGACCACTATCTTCCTTGGTCCCTCAAACTGAAAATATCAGTTCAAAAACAGGTATCTGTCCTAAATCCTCAGCTGTAAAGTCAGATGAAAAGAATTTATTCAGCTTCTTTGCAATCTCCTTATCCTCCTTTAGTGCTCCTTTAATTCTATTAGCATACACTGGTCCAACTTCTTCTATAGCTGGCATATAATTGATATATTTAAATAAGTCTTCATTGTTGGCCTTGATGCTATTAGTACTGTTCAAAATGTGTTTTTGCATTTCTTATCATCTCCCTTGTGCAAGCTTGTGTTCAATTTTGTTTTCCCATTTTAGCAAGACTTCTGTTTTCTGAAGCTTTATTTCCTTTAATAGTTTCCTTGGCACAGCTTGTTAACCATGCTAGTGACCTCTTGGACTTTGTGCTACCTTTTCTAGCTTGTGTTACACATATTATCTGAGTTTCTGTTGTTGTTTTGAGTAACCTCCAGGCATTTCTGAATGGATTTTAGCTTTTTCACTCCTCTTTCAACTTTTTTTTTTTTTTTTTTTTTTGCCAATTCCCTCATTGTATGCAAGTTTCTACATTTGAAGTCAAATGTGACTGTGTTGAACCTCTTTGGCAATCTTCCACTTATGTATATTAACTCTGATAGCACCGTGGTCAGCATTTCAACAACATCTGCATCTCATACTATGTGCTGAACAACATCACCTAGGATTAAATTCAAGATTGCCTACCCTCCGGTCAGTTCCAGGACCAACTGGTTTAGGGCACAGTTATTTAGGATGCTGAGAAATTTAACCTCTGTCCAAATCAGAACATACATTTATCCACTCAATGTGGGGATAATTGAAATTATGCATTATTATAACATCTCCATGTTTTAAAGCCTCTCTGAATTCTTTTTCCATCTCAAGATCAGTATTCTGGTCTGGGAATGATAGTATGTTCCTAGTACAGGCAGTCCTTGGGTTACAAATGAGTTCCATACCTAAGAAAATGGAAATTCATCTTTAAGTGGAATTTGTATGTAGGTCAGATCATGTATACTTGGTCTTCCATATACACAGGGCTGAGGCATGCAGGATCCTGTGAAAATGAAAAAACTGCAAGTATCTCTAAGGCCTCTCCTTCCTGCTCAAACTCACTAGGGCTTCATCTTTGCCACAAGGAAATGCCAGAATGATTTCCTTGGTATGAGAAAAAAGATTTCTCAGGAAGGCATGTGTGGTGGACTTCCTCTCTCTCCTTTCACTTCCTCTTTCTCTATGGTGATGCTTTGGAAGCCTTTCCTCTCTCCCATTTTGCTTTTTCTCTGTCTATGGTGTTGATGATTTTCCACAGTATTTTAAAAAATTAATAGGCCTTGTGGGAGTTCATTCATAAGTACAGGTTATAACTGGGTGCATGAAACTCAGGGATGGCCTGTACTAAATTCATTTTGGAGCCCAATATTGTCACCCATAGTGTGACCCTTTCAGATTTTCAAGTTTGGTGTTCTCTATGCCCTCTTTATTGTACAGAACAACACCTTTTCCAGTAAGTCCTTCCCTGTCTTTACAACAGAGTTTATATTGAGAGATAACGGTATCCCTGACACTTTCGTTCTCCTGTTTTTGGCTCAGAGGCTTCTAATATCTGCACAGAAAACATCTATAATCAGTGCCCGTATCCAGTGCAATTGGTGTGAGCAACTTCTGTTTTGGCACTTGCATCTCTTTGACTGGCTATCATCTTTCACCATATGCTCACGGCCTATCTGCTCCCCTCCTACCTTTGGGCAATCAGAAATATTTTCATATTCATCTCCTAGGGATGATTTAACTTGAACTGGGTGCTTAACTGTGGGGTTAATTGGTCCCCCAGCCTCATTCCCCAGCCCAGAGGCTCTCAGTCTAGATCGCTGAATATGGCCATCTAGAGATAAGAGGCAGGCCTCAACAAAAGGGATCCCTACAGTGACACCTCTGGCCTTAGATCAAATGCTCCTAAATTTCTAAGTTCGGAGGCTTATGAGCATCTGCTGTATGGGCAAAAGGATTGTACCCTTTATGTCTTAAAATGCATGATCATTGTTGTTAATTGGTCAGAATAGTGGTTATCCTGGTAGATCAGTGATACTTTTGGTGTTATTTTAACTTGCAGTGATCTGTGGGTATGGATCAGTGGGACAGCAGCTATTATTCCCAGGTGAATAAATCTGGGATAAAAGTTTTGCATGGTAAGTATGCATCCTTACGCTTACTTCATTCATCAATGGTTCCAGAAAACATTGTGATATCCTAGATAAATGATAGATTTGCAAAATGCTTTTAAAATCATGATTTTACTGATAAAGGAATATTTACTTTTAGAAACTACAATTCACTGAGACCCAGCTCCAGGTTTCTCTTTTCCTTTTTTACATAACTGGCATTCTTCTTGTTAGAAGAAGGTTAATCAAAGGTGGTTGGATGCTGAACTTATTGTGCAAGACTGTCAACTCTGATAAATCAAGAAGAGTATTAATTTAAAGATATGAAATGTGACAAGTATTTGCTAATAGGTTTTAATTCAGTACAGCTAGGCTTGAAATACCCGAACCTCATAATCCTGTTATTGTGTGAACACTATGTGCTGAAGCTTTTTAGAGTGCATAGAATTAGAAAGTCGCCCCAAGGTACCAGAAAAATTGGCCCAAATGGAGCCAATATTAAATGGCAATTCAAATGTAAGTGGAATGTTCAGATATTGCTTAATACAGGGTTAATAAGTATTTAGAAACATCCTACCAATATTTTTTTTCAAATGTAGCAATAAGTTCAATTTGTTTCTGAATGAATTACAATGCACTCCAAACAAACAATTCAGCTTTCCCCAGCATCCATATTTGCCTCATTTTTTTCTCTTTCTAAAACATGGAAAGAGTTAAAAATATGTAGTCCATCAATGAAAAAAAGCCAGAAAATTTTAAACTGAAGCTGCCACTTCAGGAAATTCTAAGGTGTTATAATTGCTTCCGAGTCACTAGGATCAAATTTGAGACTCATGTAGCCTCATAATTAGAAACAGACAGACTGTCAAATAGCCACGATTGGCTTTTAAAATGGATTCCTTCTTCCTTATGATCGCATCTGTATCTATATCTTTTATTTATTTATTTAAAACTTTTGTATACTGCCCACTACCAAATAGTCTCGGGATGGTCTTACAATAAAATGAAGCAGACGCAGCATCCATTCTATACAATAAATCCCCAATTAAAATCACAGTCTAAACCTTAAAATACTGGGAAAATAAAAAATATCTTTCTATGTGATCTACTGAATGAGCAAGTAAATAAGTCACAGACCAAGAGTCCTGCTGCTTCACCACAAAATGAGAGCAGAGAAATGATGGCCTTGTTTATTCTACTTTAGCTCTACTGCTGTGACTGCCAGGAGATTCACAATAATTTAACTAAGTGGGGATTGCCTGGCACAGGACTTGATTGTGTCTGCGCACTGGATAAAAGGATGCCAAAGACACCAAATTAAATGTGTTACTAAATTGACCGCAATGTTGTTATTTCTTGAATAGGATTGGCAGAAGCATGGGATATGGATATGCATCTCATCACTGGGACAGGTGTATGATATTCCTTCCTGGGCTGCCTGCTAGGTGTGCTGGTGATCAGAAGTTCACCATGGTGCCAACCATAAATGTGAAACCTTTACCCTCACACTCTGAATGTGGTAGGCTCACCTCCACATTCCCCAGATCCCTTAAGAGGATCCCAGCATGGGAGAGCAGAGTGTCCAATCCCATTCTTTCTTTCAAATTGATCCAGCTCTAGGATTGATTCAACCTTCCCAATTCTAATAACCATTGAATACCTTTTGTCCACTGCAAAATCTATTTTTATCAGGTAGGGATGGGTAGGGAAGTTGGCAACAACAATGCTCCATCTATCCCACTGCCCACTTTCATCGGCCTTTGGCTGACTGGAGTGGGAACCGCCTGCAGAGGTTCTCACCCAATTTTCTTTTCCCCGGCCTTAGGCCCACCAGGTCCACTCAGTGTTCTTGGTCTACCAGGAGGTGCCATCTGTGCTGCACAGGCACCAGACCCTGCCAATTCCCTTCCTTTTCCCCAGCAGACTCACATGTGCCAACAGTGGCAGCTCCCAAATAAGCAGTTTGAAGCAACCCTGGTTGAAACAACAGAACAGTATCAGTCAGAGGAAAAAAGAAGACTGCAAATAGGTTTTAACTTTGACCCTACAGATTTAGATGATCTGTCTACCTCAGGGGTTCTCAAACTTTTTCAACCGGGGGGCCAGTTGAAAGGCGGAGGCAGCAGGCGTGGGCCAGTGAAGGTGGGTGGGATTGTGGCCATCTCCCCCCTCAAGCACTACTGCCGTTGTGGCCATCTTCCCCCTCCCCCCCAGCACGACCGTGATCGTGCCTGTCTTCCCTGCACAAGCATAACCGTGACCGCGTCCATCTCCCCATCCCCCCACAGCACCATCATGGAGAGAAGACAGCTGAGATCGCGGGCATGCTCGTGCAGGGAAGATGGGCGCGATCATGGCCATCTCCCCCACCCAAAACGCGATTGCCTTCCCACTGAGTATGCCTGTGCTGGCTCAGAGCTTTTGGACTCGCTCAGAGATTGTTTTCTCTGAGTGAGTCCAAAAGCTCTGAGGAGAGCCGGATAAATCAGCATGGCAGGACAGATCTGGCCCACAGGCCATAGTTTGAGGACCCATGGTCTACCTATTAAGCCTCAGGGGCTCCATGCATTGCCATGGATTTGTCTTACAGATACCTGGCAAATCTATGAATAAGCAGAGAAAAGTGGAACAGGACATTTCCAAATACTGTATGGTCTTACAGTAATTTCCTACATGTACTTCCAAACAGTATTTTAGTCTAGCACAGCTTGGGTACTTTGAATCTCTGATCATGGGAACTCCAGGTTTCCATATCATGTTTTGCTATTCATGTTGTCCCTGGGCCAGCATATATAGCTTACAGAGTGTAGTGGTAATAGTTCAAAAGAGTTATATAACTGGGAACATGGAGAAAACCAGCTGTAGGAAATACAAGAACACAATTCAAATCTCAGGCAAGAGCCATTTTGAACTAAGCTATTCTGTGTATAGCATTATGTTTGTTTTTGCTACCCTTCGGTCTCCTTATAGTATAGCTATACTATAGTATAGCTATACTATAAACATATAGTATACAGTGTAAGCATAGCTATGAAAAGCAGAAATAATTGTCTGTTACTCACGAGCCATCATCTTCCATATGCAGCTGACTGACCCTTCCACTCACACCCCTGAAAAAGGAGGCCATCCATTTGCTGTTATGGACCAACAAGTCCTCTCCAGCTTATGGCAGCCCCATGAATGAATGTTCTCCAAAATGGCCTGTCCTTAGCAGCTCTGCTCAACTCCAGTAAACTCAAGGCTGTGGCTTCCTTTCCTCTCCACCTCATATTTGGTGTTCCTGCACATTCACTACAGGAACTTTTCTTTCATTTCACGCACCCGCATTTTCCCTTTTTGCTGCCCTAGTCGACAGTAGTAATTTTGGCTGCATTCAGCCTGTTTTATAAATCATTGGACCAATTAAACCTTGATTTAAAACTCTACCTTTTTCTCTCCAACATGGAAAAAAGATTTTAGTCTTATATAGAGATCCAGACATCTAATTAGAGTGCATAAGTTTTTTGGAGATCCTAAAGAAAAATTACCGTCATTCATCTTATATGGAAAGAAGTTAGAAAATTGGTGTGCAACTCTGATTTGCTGTGATCTGAAAAACAATGATAAACTATGCCATTCAAAATTGCTGAAAATGCAACACCACCATTAACTATTTCAGTAAAATAGAATGCTTTTCTGTGAAATTCTACGTATTGGTGGAGAAGTAAGCTCCACCAAATTCAATCAATCTCAGTCCTAAGTAAGTGAGTTTGAATTGTAATCCTACTATATGCATGCTTAGAGAGAAAATTCCTACAACTTCCTGGATTCCCCAGTCAGTCATGCTAACTGAGGATGCTGTGTGTCACAAGACTTTTTTCTTTCTAAACATGCATAGAATTACTCTGCATAGAGATGCAGAGTAAGAAAAGCATGGAACCCTGCAAACTTGGAAGGTGGGAGGAAAATGAAGATGAAGGTTGCTTCCATGCTCTTCTAAATGCACCACTAAATGCACCACTTCAGAGTGGGTGGGGAGGTGGCTGAGATGATACCAGGATACCTTGTCTCTGGGCTCCAGCAGTCCCTTCCTCCTGCCTTCCAGCCTGTTTTCCTCTTGCCCCTGGAATGACCCCAACAACCTTTCCCAAAGTCACTCTTACAACACTGGGGAAGCAACTGGTGCTGTATTTTCCATGCTGGATGAGAAGATGGGAGGGGGATCCAAGTGTAGAACCCAGCTACAAGGACAAAAACTGAAAAATCTAATACTTACATTAGTGAAATATTTCTTAATTTAATTCATTTATTCTGATGAGTTTTCTATGAGTCATTTTTGACTCTTCATACAATCTGAGTATCAGAAATGCTGCATTTTTAAAATGTAGTAAAGGGTTCTTTAAAATAGTTGTGGCTTTGTGCTGTGTTGTGCTTAAAGATGGTTGTACTGCATATAGACTAAGTTCGTAGAAGTTATCTTTCACTGGAATTAACATGAAATGTAAGTTCTAAATTAAGTTGCACCGGTTGTACTGGGGCGTTGTATACAACTAGATTAATCTGACTTAACCCACTATCTTTATACATGTTCAGAGCAGTCAGTCATGCAGCTTATGGGACTTTTTCTCAAGTAAGTATGCACAAGATGTCAGCTTTACAACCACTGTGTGAGATGTTTTAATGTGCAACACATGCTTCTGTTGTAAGATCCTTACAAACTGAGTGGGGGAGGCACAAAAGGAAAAAGACTGGGGTTCAGATTTTGTTGGAAGAAGCAATATTTGAAATGCAATTTAGTTGTGCCACTGATAAGAAGGGAAGAAAATTCTTTTGCACGTGGAGCAACACTGAATTACACCAAACTATATACATTAAGACTGCACATATTGCTTCATTGAGACCTAGTATTAGATAGCAAGAACTTGAGGTGAGAAGAAGTCTTCACTTTATTCCATGAACTCAGCACCATTCTATACTTCACTGGGAGCAATCTTCCAAGGGTAATCATTGGATGTGCCCATTTTTGAAATAAGAAAATGGTATGAAAAATTTCTCTGATAAAGAACACAAATCATTCTGGAAGGGAAGTTCTCCAAGTCATTTTTAATAAAACCAACAAGAAAACAACCTGTGCCTTGTTACTTTCCCTGTCAATGAAAGGTTTACTGCTTCAGTGTGGTTTCAATCTGACAAATGCTTATTGTTGCAATGATTTAGTGAATGCTGCATTCCACCCAGAAGTATCGTAAGTGTTTTTATCAGGGTAAAGGCACTCAAATGCAAACAAAATGAAGTGCCTAGAGGAGGGAGGGTGGGAGGCAGAAGAATTCATCAAGGCTGCCAATGATTTATGAGAGGCAATGATTATAGAACCCAGACAGTGTGAAGAGAAGATTCCCTTTATCATCTTCTTCCTGATAGCTATGTGATAGGAAGTAGCTTCAATATATCACCAAAGTGTTAAAACAGGTGGCCCTGCAGTCTGGAAGTTATTTAAGGAGAGGCAACTGCTGCAGGTGTCTGTGATGGAAGAGAGAACAAGTTAATTACCTCTTCACCCATCTGAATCTCCTGGATGGCACGAAGGTGGAGCTGAGGACCCTTAAAGACTATCACACAGTTGGGATCACAACTGTTGTTCAGCAAAGACATGCTAAGGAAGGAAAAGACTTTTGTTTAGGAAAAGGGATTTTAGAAGCAGAGAGAACACATATGAAGCCTCTTTAGGCTGAGTTAGGCCATCAGTCCATTCAACCCAGTATGGTCTCCCTTGGCAGTGGTTCTCCAAGGTTAGAGAGCTCTTTTCCCATTGTTTGGTACCTGCTCCATTACCCAGACAAAACCTGGCAGTACTTGCATGCAAACATGTGCTCTTACATTGACGTATGGTTATGAAATGCCAGCATCTAGTCTGACGTGGTTCAGTCTGGATGCAGGGTTTACCACCATCAACTCATTCTGCATAAGCTTTATTCTGTGGTAGATCTGTGATTAGTGACAGCAGATCTCTCATCAGCTGAATTTAGCAAATGGGGAAATTTTTTCCCCACACTCCCCAAAAAATACATTTTGTGTGTGTGCATGCGTGCAGGTTTCTCCTTGAGTCTGTTTCTGAAATTCAGACTCTGCTATACCTTCTGATATAATAGGGATGGAGCTGGGGACTAACTGCCTTTATTCAACTTCCCTCTGGTGAGTTCCTGTCTCATTCTTTGCTGCTTCCATTCCCTTTCACTTACCTGATGACAGAAGTAATAGGGTAGTCTAACTGGAAGACTCTCACAGAGGCCTCCATTTCTAGCACCAGCACTGCAGGCATCTGGAATTTTAGGCATGATTTCCATGCCTCTGTGATATGACTGACATCCATATGCCAGCAGTCTGAAAAAATTAGGATGCCATGTGCCTAAGATGCTCCTCTTTCAGTGTTCATGGTACCAGAGAGAAGGGAGAGTTTGGTTACATACGGAACTTCAGAAGTTTCTCTGGGAGAAATGGATGCAGTCAAGAATGCCAGATTGTATTCCAAGCTAGATAATGATGAACTCTGCAGAATCACTGTGATATTTATGCCCATCCTGGCACTACCCCAAAAAAGCTTACTTCAAAGTGCAGAAGAAGGAGAGCTAGTGTGGCATAGTGGGGAAATGTTACAATATACATAAACAAACAAGGGATATACAAAATGTGCTGAAATGCACTCAACTGGGGGGGGGGGGGGGAGGGAGGGATGGAGGAGAAAGAGGGAGAGAGAGAGAGAGAGAGAGAGAGAGAGAGAGAGAGAGAGAGATCCAAGCAGAATGTTACTGAAAAGATGCAACTACAATCTTAGGTTTTGCTTGTGAATTAAGGAATGTCCACCATACCTGGGATAAAGGCCAACACCAACATCCTGCATTTCTCCATTGCTAATGCTGAAACAGTTACAGGTCACCTGTAAAAACAAGGTTAAAATGCATGATTATGATTACTGGAGTCATTTAGAAACTTCACACTGGAGTGAAAGAAAAAGTTAAAATAAAAGGCAGCAAATGCTGGGGAACTAAAGTAGGGCTACTCAAGCCGAAGACAGAGACATCCTTTCATATTACAGCATATAAATCTGGGATACAGCTTTAACAACAAAAAAATGGTGCCAATTAAAAGCAGAAATGCTGGTGTCCTTTAAAAGATTGCAAAAATGCATGTCTAAATATATGCTGAGATCTGATTTTCCATTCCTGAAAAAAGATAAAGAGTTTCATCATATGTGTGCTTGCAAAATCATATTAATCATAAACTAGATCACAAAATCCACCCACAGAGAAATTTTACAGCCTTGACAGCAACACTAATTTAAATTAATATCTATGCATCCAGTAACAAAATGCCTTTAAAACTCACACATTAATTAGTTGATATTTATTTAACGCATTCAAACATTTTTAAAATCATTTATAAAAATCATACTTTTTAATTATTTCCCCTGTGTTGATACTAGAAACATAATTCTAGATAACAAATGTGAGTTAAGGAAGTCCATCTTAAACAGCAACTATGAAAATTACAAAAATATTGACTTTGCTTTCTAGTTCACAAAAAAATAAATAACCTTTTCTAGGTGGGAGAAAAAAATGTCAATTTCTCAGACAAACCATTTCAAGCAGTTTGCAATACAGATCCACAGGTCTATGAAGTGGCAGTACTGCAGAATCACTGTACTGCAGAATCATTTGTCCCAACAACAGGAAGGCTGACCAAGGAAGCCATCTATATGTCTATCACTGGCCACTACCATATGCTCGTATCAGTGACACTGCAGGCATCTGGAATCTTAGGCACAATAAGACACTGTTACTTTGGAAGGGAATGATCTAATACAATTTGCACACTTGATATGTGCTTGTGTGAGAAAGAAGCAGAGAGAAGTAGGAAGCAAGAGGGTTAACGTTTGTCTGTTCTATATTACAGCAGAGCTTCATGGGGTAAGGTACAGGCAGGACCTTACTACACTAATTAGGGGGAACACTGCTATTAAAAAGATTTACAAGAGTACAGAATTCATATTCCTGATCAGCACAGAATTGCTGTGTGCTTGGAATCACAGAATGCAATTACACAGAAGCTGTTGTACTTCCTAAACTATTTAGGTGAAAGTGACCATTGTGCTGCGGTTTTGTTTTTCTATGGATGGTAGAATTAGCTAGGAGGGTAGGCCCTTTACAAACAGCTTGTCCAGGGAGAGGAATCTGCATGGCTGCATTGCCAAAGGGTTATTATGCTAAATACACATGTGTATTTAGCCTTGGTGACTCCTCCATTATGGTCTTAATTAAAGTACATACAGTGAATAATAAATATTAAACACAGAAATAAAGATCAAAAGGTTAATATGTCAACTCCTCGCCTGGTTTCTGAACAAATTAATAATCAGATTTACTCGAGCTGATAAAGGTTCTACAAATGTGAACTTTCTGTGGAGAAAAATCCCTAAAGTAAAATTTGGGGGTTTGGAAAACCATTTTCACTTCTTTTGATTTTAAAGAAAATTTTTTGGGAGAAGCAATCTAGGATTTGAAGACAAAGCCTTCTCCAACTTTTCCATTTCCATGCAATTGTTCTCTCAAGGAATCCACAAATCATTAGATGTACAAGTGAACCCCCTATTGAGGGATGCATCAGGGGAAGGGCTATTAGTTATTCACACCTATGTGGATAAAGAAAAGAATATGCTGCTAATTGGAATCTAAGGCAGCATTTTTATCTTGATATCTGCATATAGTATGCATACACTAATGACTCATTGCCTGTTAAACCTTGTTTTTGTAGTCAGCTGCACCAGTCCATAAATTATACGCAGCTCTCATCTGCGGAAGTCTTCTTTGTGCTCACCAGATGCTTTCCTGCTGCTAATCTATCTAAGGGTAAGTAACCCAGGGATGCCAGCAAATAGACGTCAGCAGAGATTTTTTTTTAAAAGCCACCCAAAAAGAAATGATATAAAGCAAAACCCTCTCACTACTTCATGGTGTCTGTAGAATGTGAGGAACAAACCACAAAACTGAATCATGGTGGAAAAAATGAAGAAAGGGCTTTATCTTGTCTTAAGTTTACATGTAGATCCATTCTAAGGCTATTTTCTTCCAGCAATGGAAAATCTGACTACCTTCTGTATGTACGTCTGAGGTGGCCTTATTGGTCACTGTTACCAACAGAGTACCTCCAAGTAACATTATGCAAGCAGGCTTTCTTGGTAGCAGCACTCAGCTCAGGATCAGGGGCAGCAATAGGTACTGAAAAGTTTGGGGCCCAGACCTACAGGACCAAAGCAAAAGCAAAAAAGCACAAATTTGCATAGGCTAATTTGTAAATGCTCCAAATACACCCCCCCCCCGTGTGGGTGTGGGGGAGAGAGAGAGAGGGGGAGAGAGAGAGAGAGATTGTCTTTAAAGGGCTCTGTACCCTAAGGATACCTCTGATTGTAAAAAGGAATGTGTGGACAAGGACATTTGATTTCAGAGAAAAAACTCACAGAGAAAAATGCAACGTGGGAGGCAGAGGGAACGAAAAGCCAGTTAGTCTAGGAGGGTGGGAATTGGATGTACCAGAAATCATCAGGGTCCCCATACTCTGATTTCAACAAGTGCCTATGGACAGTGCTGAGGCACATGGCCTCCAGATATTCAGGGTTCCAGCCATAGTGGACTGACTCATAACAACACCTCTGCTCTGGATCATCCTCCTACACATTGTATGGAAGACAGAAATTACCCTGAGCTTGCAATGCCCACTGAAAATCTATTTCTTAGCACAGTTTTTCCTGACTTACAATGGAAAATGACATTGCTCCCTTTTATCATTGTTTCTGTTGTTATTTTACATGTAGCTAAGGAGTACTGAAGACTTTGAATATAAATCCCTTGCATAGCATTATGAAAACAGCCTCTTCCTAAGTTCCAAGAGGGCCATGTGACACCGTGCAGGGACTAGTTTTTAAGACGAGGGAAAGGGAAAAGAACTGGTGAGCATTGAATCTTGGCCATCCAGTTCACTGGAATATGACTCCCTACAATGGACAACTAAATTGCAGCATCTATTTTGCGCGCATTGTGTTTGATCACTGAAAGCTCTTACTGATTGGCTTCTTTGGAAGATTTACATGGATAGATATCAAGATAACAAAGAAAGCGGATACTGGGATCTCAAAGTGCATTAAGCTAAACTACATGCTTCCATATCTCATTTTCCATTAGACATTTAAACTTTGCAAGTGATTAAAGAAGTAATTTTTATCTAGTTCTCCATTTGTTAAACTTGAAATGTTTATGGTAAGGATGCTAGTCTGCTTTAATTTGTTATGTACTCATCTGAACAAGAGTAATTTGTATTGATGCTATGATGATGCATAATGCCACATTATATACTTGATTTATAGAACACTGGATATTAAATTTAACATAACCATATTACAAAGTAACAAATGAGGTGTCAGTTCCACAAAGCGCATCCACATCTATAGCAACATCTCAATATTGAGGGATTTGAAAACACTCCATAAACCTAATACTCAGCATGACTCTAGGAATGCATTCCTACCCTTACGAACACAAAGACAGGTTCATATTTATGCTACAACTTAAAGAAATTTCCTTTCACAGTTATGCTTCCCTAGAGAATTATAAAACTTGCTTAAAACAGAAGTCCCTCCAGCCAATTTCCAGATATTTATTTGCTTTAGACATGGTGAAAAGGAGGATAAATGGCCACATTTGTTCTTGATTTTGTGAAGAGAGTGCAGTCAGGCATCTGTCACATGACCATTCCATATCCCAGGCTTGCTGTTTATAAAAACCACACATATTATGCCAGAAACCCATCAGTCTTACAAAGTACAAACCAAAAGTAGAAAGGAACAATGGTAAAGGTCCCCATGGCAACAGAACCTTCGACCCTATACATATCTACTCAGAAGTAAATCCCATTAAGTTCAATGTAGCTTACTCCAAGGGTAAAGAATTGTAGCGAGGGAGAGGGTCTTCTAGCCAAAACACCTGCTTGATGCAGATATTCCAAGCCTACAACATCCCAAAAAGAGGGCTGCCCAGTCTCTCAAAGACCTCCACACCAGGGGAGAGCCCCCTGCTCTAAGTAATTGGCTACATTGCCAAAGTGCTTGTACTATCAAGAAATTCAACCTAATGTTCAACAAAAAAACTATCCTCCAATACTTTAATCCCATTAAAGCTAATTCTTCTATTTGGGACAACATAGAACAAGTCTTTGCCTCCTTCTATGTGACACCTCTGCAGAAATGTAAAGATCACTGCTGTTTCTCCAGTCTTCTCTCCTCCAGACTAAAAATACCCACTCTCTTCAACCTTTAAAACTTGTTTACTATACTCCTGACCATCTTGTTGCCCTTCTCTGAACCTGTTCCAGTTTGTCTACATCTATCTTAAAGCATGGTGCCCACAAATTGATAGGATCAAACTAAAAGAGAGCACTTCATTATCTTGGAAATTATAATTATCAGTGCAGGCTAGAGTAACCTTAGCCTTTTGCTGTAGCTACGTCATACCTCAAAATCATTGTTATTTTGTAATCAGCTACAATCTCAGTATCATTTTAGCCTGTACTTCTGTTAAGCCAGGTATCCCATGCCCTATACCTCTGCACTTAGCTTTGCTTGCCTAGCCTAAAAGATTGCAATCTCATCTTTGGTGTGGTCCCTGCAATTCCCTCCTTTGGTCAGGTGGTACACAAAGCCCCTACCTGACATCCCTCAGGTCACCAGCTTAAGTGCTGCGGTGGACTAATCCCAGCACCAAATAAAACATTTTGGCCTCTTGAAAGTACTGTTGAAGGATCCCAATTCAATACAGATACCATCTGGCATGTGTGGCAACAGTTTTAAATTCACTCATTTTCATGCATTCCAGGAAACTAAATAGGATT